CATCTTTCCTGGTATGAGCTCATGGTAGCTGGTCTCATACCAGACTTGATCCATTTATTTCATAGTTAAACTAAGGCTTAACTCTGTTCGGACACCAGAACTTAACCATGTATCAGTGTGTGAAAGAGTATTTTTTTCCCCTACTTCTTTACTCTGGTGAAAGTAGTGGAAGAGTAATTCTCCCCCCCAACCCTTAATTACTGTGGGGAAAGTAACGGATCACTGCACCCATTTCTTTCCTCCTTAAAGTGCTTTGTGTACTGTGGCATCTAGGAAGCCAAATACCACATTTCCCAGTTTCTTTCAGCTAAGGCTACTTCTATACAATGTGGGAAGTGAGGAATTATTTGGAATTTGGGAGATATTTTGGAGCATGTCTAGAAATTGCTACTTGAGGTTGTGAGCATAGGAAGTCATTATGAGCCCTGATCTCAAGAGCGAACATTTGGAGGACTCTGACTTCAGTGCTGGCCAAAGGCAAAGGGAACAAGACATGGAAAGAAGAGAAGAAAGTTACAAATTGAAACTGCAGCTTTATGAAATAAAGACTATAGTAGTCAGCCATATTTTCATCCTTGTATTATTTTGTACGTGTTTATAAATATGAAATAACTTTCACCTTATACTTCCTTGTGATATTTTATATAGAGTGTGTTATTGGTAGGTAACTTTGCAATGCAGTCCCTTAGAGAAGGAGCAGATTTTCATCCTGAGATGGACGAATTGACTGATGGGACTTTCTTTGGTTCTCCCTGTTGGGAAGATGGTGAGTACATTTTCATTGGTAAAAGAGATAGTTGCACTATGGAGGAATGGAACTCTGGCGAGAAAAGTATACATGGATGTTGAGTAACCAAAGGGATGGGACGCACTAGTGTTCAACATCTGTTTCACCCTCATTCTTGTGTGCCTTTCTCTGCTGAAGCAGATGGAAAGCTAACATTCATACCTCTGAGACTCCCCTGCAGTCAGGGTTCTGCATGTGTTTTAGGTTCAGCCAGTCAGATGCAGGTGCATGGGGTTTGAAAGTAGAAGTGAGTTGCAGGCTGAACCTTTGCTGCCTCTACTTTTCTGTTGGCAAGCACAGTAAGAGAGTCATTACATTTTCTTCTTTTCCCCTTGCCCCAGCATTAATAAATGTCTCATTGCCTAGCCACTAGCTTCATGGTAGTTAAGAAGCAGGGAGCAGGGCAGTCATTTCGCTGGTGCAAAACAGTGGGCATGGCAGGATTCCAGAGCTGGCAACAATAAAGGGGCCTCTAGATTACAAGTGCTTCCTGAATGTGGCACCATCTTAATCACCTTCCTAACCATGGAGTGGAGTGTGTGCTTCTGAAGCTGGTAGCTTCCTGCTTTTAAAAGACATCAGCTTTTTCCTTTGTGACTTGGTCCTATAGTTTGACTCTGAGAGTCATTCCTGAAAGATCACCCTGCAGTCTGTTAATTTAACTCTCAATAATCTTGTAAACCGTTTAATACCTATAATAAAACACTTCTTGTTTAAGCTAGTTAAAAATACTTAGTTCTTTGCAGCTGAATCCCATCAGATATATCTACATAGATGCCTAATTTATATATAT